GTATACTTGCACTTCTTTCAGTAACGTTATTTAGTATCTTGACTCTTTCCATGAAAGATGAGGATGAGGAAATCAACAGACCTCACTTCCTTCTAGACTTCTCTCTCCTACTTCCTGTCGGCTGCCCTTTTACTTCTATGTTGTCACAGCTGCATTTTCTGTAAGATTTGTATTTTGCTCTTTATCTGTGATTTTCCCCTTAACTTTAGCCTAACAAAAGGAGAAAAAAACCAAAAGCAAATACTTTTTACATTATTAATCCGATGCAAGTATTGTTCTGTGCTGGACCAAGTGCCATGCTAAGATTTTATTTCCTTCCCTCTGATTCTAGGATCAAGACCCCCAAAGCTCCTTATTTTAAAATTCAAAAGTACTTTCAGAGTTTCTTCCAGTTTAATTTTTTGAAATAATAGATGCATAGTAATAATTTAGTAAATACATACAAGTAGGAAAAAACTGGGAGGAAGAGAAAGAGGAATAGAAAATAAACACCTGAAAATCCTGCCCTGTGGAGCATTTCTTAGAAGTGTTCACACAGAGTAATCAGTAACATTGAAGAAAAAATTCTTCCCATAGTGATAAGGGAAAACTTCTAGACCTGTTAAGAAAACCCAGGATAGGAGAGATTCTGTCCTAAGTCTAAATTCCCTTATGTGCCACAGACTTTCAACTTTTATTCCACATACTTATTAAGCATTTGCTATCTGCTAGTTACTGTGCTTATTCCTGGTAATAAAATATAGTCAAAAATAATCATTGTCCCTACCTTCATGAATGTTACATTCCAGTAGAGGGAGGTAGATATTAATCAAATAGTTACATATAGACATGTACAATACAGACTGAGTTCACACGCTAGAAAGGAAAAGAGCTTGGTTCTTTGAGGACATATAACAAAGGAACCCCATGGGCAGAGAGGTTTTGGAGGAATCCAAGAAGTCTCCCTGGAAGGAATGATGCTTAAATTGAGATCTGAAAGAAGACTGGGGATTTACTAAGCAAAGGGCAGGGAGATAGGTTAGTGAGCATTCCAGAGAGAAGGTAGAAATTCAGTGATGAGTATGCAAATGGTGGATTCAAATAATAGAAAGCTGCTGTCACTGGTGCAGAAAGAGCTGGTGGGGAGAGGAGTTGGGAAGAAATCCACTCTGGGTGGCCTTCCTAGGCCAGGGGCCAGATGGTTTCCCAGTAGAGTGGAAAGCCAAGTGTGATCCTTTGGAATAGAGACTGGACGGGAGTTGGTCAGTGTTAGCATCGGTGCCTACTGTGAAGCCTGTTCGGATCCCCGACACAGGCCTCTTGTGCTCTGAACTGGACATTTTTATCAGCTGTGATGGCCTCAGCTCATGAATGCCAAACAAATACCTTCCAAACCTTGCAGAGTATGTAGCCACCTCATCATGCAAATGACCACATAGTTCATCCTTGGGAACCTTCCAGACAATGCTTTCCCACCTCTGTGAGGAAACCACACCCTTCTCTTTCCTCACCTTCATTAACAAATGGCATTACAAGGTGGAGAACACACAAGAAGCATGCTAACAGGAAGCACCCCCAGACAACCTCTGGTCCTGCAGGCTACAAACCTGAGGGAGAGGCAGGGTGCAGAGAAGGGTAACTGGAACACTCCTGTCTCCCCTAAGGAAATTGAAATGGAAGCTCATCATGTGAGATTAAAGCAGCAGCATTTGTCTTGTTTTGAGGTCCCAGAGCCTTCTTCCCCTTTCTCTGACTCCTAAGGTGGTTCCTAAGGTCATTTTTTTTATTGACATTAACAAAACAGAAAATTGATAGTTCATGCAAGGGGTAACTTTTCTAGTAAGAAGGCATTTCAAGGAGCAAAGACATTTTTAGGAAGAAAATAAAGCAAGAAAGATAAAACTTAGCAAAGAAAAAGAGGGGAAAAAAAACATAGCAGGAGGGGTATGTATACCAACCCTCTGCTTGAAATACTTGAGTAATCTCTCATTGCACCTGAAATAAAATCCAGGCTCCATCCCATGCTATGAGACTTCACATGATCTGATCCTTCCCTACCGTCAGGAACTCAGACTGTACTATGATTACTTGCATCTCTATGCTCTAGTTTATTTTCTGCCCCGGGGCCTTTGCACCTCATATCTACATGGCTGGCTCCCTCTTTTTTCATCCTTTGCTTAGATAACTCCCCCCTCAAAAAGCTTTTCCCTAGCCTCCTCTCTGAAGTAGTCCCTTCCCCACTTCCAGTCACTCTAGCCTATTACCCTATTGTGTCTTACCACTATCTGAAACTTTTTGGTTTGTTCACTTGTTTTTCTCTCTCTCAATTACAGTGGAATTTACATGAGTGCAGAGATCTACTCTAACTTGTTTAGCATCATATCTGCAAAGCCTAGAACAATGCCTGGTACTCAATAAATATTTGTTGGATAAATGTATGTAATAGTATTCTCATATTTGGAAGATAGTCATGTGGATAAATAAATTCATTTATTCATCTAAGAAACATAACAAATATGCACTCATTTAATAATTATTGCGAGACTGTTATGTCCTGGGCACTGGAGATAAAAAGTAGAACTAGAGGCAGACAACATTCCTCCCTTTAATGAGCTCATAGTATTGTGGTCAGTGTGGAGAAATGTGGAAAGAATTCAAGACATAAGGACTTACTGGTCATGGGAAGTGAAGAAGACAAGAAAATGAGCCCCAGATCTTAGACTTGAGCAGATGAGGTTATTGTGCCATTCTGGGAGCAAAGGAACCTCAGATAAGAAAGGGAGGAGGCCAGCTTTAGAAATGTGACACTTTGGAAATATCTAGCAAGGAGGTAGATATCCAAATCTGGAGCTTGAAAGAGACACCTGGCTGGAAATAGAGTTGACAAATCAAAGGCAGCGCTTATAGACTTGGGAATAGGTGAGACAAACAGGGTAGAATAAAGTGAGGAGAAGAAAAGAGGGACCTTGGAGAAAACCAACATTTAAAGAATGGTTAGAAGTCAAACCTGCAAGAGAATCTAAAAAAGAGAAATTGAAATAATGGACACCGGCAGAACTCATTGTCATAGTACCTAACGCATCAGGAGGACTAAAAGTTGTCCACTGCACTTGGTGACAGAACAGTAATCTCTGCCTGAGCCATGGCCATGCCATGGTACAGCAGGCCGTGGTATTTTTGTTTGCTGTGATGGGAAGTGAAGACTAGGAAATGGAGAGAGAGGTAAAAGGCTCCTATAAGCTGCTTGGCCCTGAAAGGAGGAAAAAAATGAAAGCGGGGGCTGAAGATATAGGCTAGAAAAACACATTCATTAATACTCTAAAGAGCAGAACAAACATATTGAATGGAAACTACTGGGAAGTTGCTTTGGTTTAAAACTCTAACCATTAGAGTTTTAAAATGGATTGGGCTACCTCCAGAAGCACTGAGATCTTGATTATCAGAGGTATCAAAGAAGACCCTGAATGTTATGTTAAGATAGAGTAAGGTGTTCAATCAGTAATGTAGACTTCCACTGTAAGAAACTGTAGGAAGAAAAACAAATCCAAAACAAGCAGAAGGATGGGCATAATAAAGATATGAACAGAAATCAGTAACATTAATGCAGAAAAACTATAGGGAAATATACATGAAACTAAAAGCTGTCCCTGTTTCATTTCTTATACTGGTAATTTGTGTCCTCTCTCTCTCTCTCTCTTTTTTTTTTTTTTTTCTATCTGGCCTGGACAGAGGTTTAGCAATTTTATTGTTTTTTTCCCCCAGTGAATCAGCCTGAATAATCAATAGCCAGATTTTCAGATTATATAATGAATCAAAGGATCTAAGCTTAGACATAGCAAGGAAGACCAAGTTGCTTAATTTTCTGGTTTGGGTTTTAAGAAAGGAAGGAAACTTCCCCCTCTGGCTAAGAAACTGAGAATTACACCCAGATCAGGCAGATCCCTCTGAGAGTTCAATTGTCCTCCATCTGTTATCCTCTGTTCAAAAACTGAAGGGAGTTTAGGAGTTTCTTTCTTGAGCAGCTAGCTGGCCTGCTAGATTTCCAGGATGGCCGTGTTCCACCCGTGCCTGGTAAAGAAAGCCAAAGGTACTCATGATTCTGATTTTCTCAGGTGCTTAGAATCCAAGAATATCAGAGTTGAAGGAAGGCTGGATTTTACCTAATTCAAATCCCCACAGTTTAAAGAAGAGAAACCAAGGCCCATGGAGGGTGGCTTGTCTAGGTGGCCTCCATACCCTCTGATCTGAAATCCAGTGATCATGAACTGACCCTGGGACAGACAGTAAGCCCATTAGACCATATCTTCCAGGCTCTTGGAGAAGGAAATGGCAACCCACTCCTGTATCCTTGCCTGGAAAAATCCCATGGACAGAGGAGCCTGGCAGGCTTACACTCCATGGGGTTGCAAAGAGTCAGACACAACTGAGCAACTTCACTTCACTTTCCAGGCCTGCCTGCTCCTAATCATCATAGTATATGTTTGCTTTTAAGCTTACTTTTATGCATAAAGAGTCCCCATGAGAACCTGTCTGTCTGGGCCCTAGTCCCTCTTCTCTCACCCACTGGAGTCAAGATGGAGAAAACCCACCAGACCCAGGCCTTCACACTGAGGCATCCTGCCCAATGGGATTGGCTTGAGCCCGTGCGCCTGAGCTCACCACCAACCAGTTGAACATAAGCTGGGTCCATCATTCCTATCCGATCCCACTGCAACTTTGAATTCTTCACCAAATTCCTTGTAAGACTGTAATGAAAATGTACTACACCCTCAGTATGTCCAGGTCTGTGCTAGGAGGCTATACTTTCTCTCAGTCCTACTCAATAAAACAGGTATTGTTCTCATCCTCATTTTTCAGGTAAATAAATAGGCTCAGAGAGGTTAAGCAATGTGCTTAAGATCCCACAACTAGTTAAGTAGAGGAGTCAGGGTTTGAACTCAGGTCTAACTGACTCCAGTGTTCAAACCTTTAGTGAGAAAATTCTTCCTGATTTAAAATGAAAGTTCTCTCTCTGTTTGCAGTCTCAGGAGGAAGTCTGTGATTTGCTTCATGCTGCACCCTTCCAAAACATCTTGCCTAGAGTCTACATCAAAGGTAAGAAACCTCTGAAAGCAGCTAAATACTTGCATTACCATATGTAAAATAGATCGCCAGTGGGAATTTGCTATGTGACTCAGGAAACTCAAACAGGGGCTCTGTAACAACCTAGAAGGGTGGGGTGGGGAGTGAGAGGGAGAGAGTTTCAGGAGGGAGAGGACATATGTATACCTATGGCTGATCCATGGTGATATTTGGCAGAAAACAAAATTCTCTAAAGCAATTATCCTTCAATTAAAAAATAAATTCATTTAAAAAAATAGCCATTTGAATTTGAACCTTATGCTCACTTAATCTCAGTAAACTCAAATCTGCAGTCAGAAAAGAAAAAGGTTAAAGCCTTGGGCAGCTGTTAATGCTGGAATTGGAAATGATGCTCCAGGCCTGTTCCTTGGGTCTTCTAGAACATCCCTAATATGTTGCTGTCTCGGTTAGTCTACATCCTTCAAGTGATGAGTAACTCACCACCCCATGAGGTAGATGATTCCACTGGACAAAGATAAAAGAACCTGTTTCCTTATAGTGAGTCCTGAACACACTTGTCAGAACCACGGAAAACAGCTCTACATGCTCCTTCCAAGTGCTGGAGTTGCAAGTACATCCCCAAGTCCTCTGAGAGCTCTTTCTTTCCCATTTCCCCCGGTGTGCCCTGAATCTCATTCTCTGCCTACCATTCCTTTTGCAGAGGGTGAGCGTCTGGAGGTCCGGATGAAACGCCTGGAAGCCAAGTATGCCCCACTTCACCTGGTCCCTCTGATAGAGCGGCTGGGGACCCCTCAGGTACGATCCTCCTGTCATGGACTCATAGAACCTAAAGGAACTTTAGAGGGAAAGAGAGAGCATTTGGTCCAGCCTCCTCCTTACAGATGGGGAAACTGAGGCCCAGAGGGAGAAACAGAAAGTCTAACAGCACACAGCCTGGTAGTGGCAGGGGCAGGTCTGGAATGAGATTTGTTGACTCTCAGGCCTACACCCTCTATCATCTGTCCTGCCAAGAAAGAAGGAAGTCAGACAAGTATCTGTTACTCCCCGTTAAGTATGAAGAATTCTGCTGTTATCTCTCAAAATTAAAACCACCCACCCTGCAGGTCGACAGTTCACCTTTGGGTGCTGTGCTGGGCTGTACTTAGTCTCTTGGTTGTCTGACTCTGCAACCCCGTGGACTGTAGCCCACCTCTGTCCATGGGGATTCTCCAGGCAAGAATACTGGGGTGGGTTGCCATGCCCTCCTCCAGGGATCTTCCCAACCCAGAGATCGAACCCAGGTCTCCGACGTTGCAGGTGGATTCTTTACCATCTGATTCACCAGGGAAGCCCTATTTTTGCTAAAGAAGAAAAAAAAAAAATTACAGGAATACAAGATGTTTACCACAGCATTGTTTGTTAGAGCAAAAACTGGAAGCAACCTAAATATCAATCAGTAGCATGTTGACTAAATAAAATGGGGTAAAATCATTTAAGTGATGAATACCTACCAAATCAAAATGAAAAGGGGAAGTCAGATCCAGATACATCAGTGTGGACAGATCATAAACACACGGTTAGGTGAATAAAGGAAGTTTCACAACAGGTCATGGAGTTTGATGCTATGTGGATTTTTTTAAACACATACCAAAAAACCATATAAAGTGAAACTTTTCCTAGGACATGAAAGTGCCCAGTTCATAACGGTGGCAACTTGTGAAGAGAGATGAAAGAGACAGAGATGGATAGGGAGATCAAACCCAGCTTTATCTGTAATGTTCTCACATTTTCAAAGGTGAATGAGCTCAGGTGTTAATTCTGTATTTAAAACTCATTTTTATAAGCCTGTATCTATATATGGAGATGAGTGAAAGAGGAGGACCCCTGCCTTCAGAGAACTCACAGACCGTGCAGGTAGTTGGGAAAAAGACACCGGGAGAAAGGGAGGTACCAGGAAGCATATATTGTCTCTTTTCAAGTTGATTCATGTTGAATCAGGCTTTTAAGGGCAGGGGGCAGGGGTATTGAGGAAGAAGAGAAAACGGGGCACTGTATTGAGACGTACCACGATGGCTTGTTTCGTTCAACAAAACCGACTATTTCAAAGGTTTAGGATTCAGATCCACTCTTGGACTTACATCCCTAAGGTCCTCTGTCCTGTCACAAAAGCTCATGAGTCAGAAAGCTTCATCCTCCTCAGAGAGCAGAAGGCAGTCTCTTCTCTCAAAAACCATGGCAAGTGTTGGAACCCAGGGCGGAGCCCCATCTGCCCAGGTGTCAAGCTCAGGAGCTTGACAGAGCCAGACCCCCTGTGGGCCACCCACCTCCGACAAAAACAGTGACTAAACATTTAGTGGCATTTGGGTTCTTTAGTCACTACCAAGAGAATTTAGATACCGTGAAATATGAACATTTTCTTTTTTGGCTTTCCGGAGCTGAACACAGAAGATCCTCTAAAGATTGCCTTTTAGGGAGAAATCCCCCAAGCCAGCGACATATAAATGTGTCTGCTCCAGGGTTGGTGTCATCCTACAAGAATCTGGCCTCTCGCACCCAGGCTTTGGCATGTGTTTCCACTTAGAAGTATGTGAATTCCTTCCCTGTTCTGGTGAACACTATTTCCCTGGGACTGGTGGAAATCTCAATTTGTCAAATGCTGATATTTAACAAACAAAAGCCTAGACATTCTGCCGGAGAGGAAATGCCAGTTGTATAAGTCTCCCAGCCCTTAAGGAATAGTACAAAACTTAGTCCTCCTGTAGAAAAAAGAAAAAAATGTTAAATATTAACTACCAATCTTGCTAGGGTTCAGGGAACTCACAAAACTTCTAGGTAAGTGATAGGGAAATTCTGCTACATATTTAATGTGGGAAGGGTTCAACTGTGCTACATTGCTTGTATTTGTTTCTAGGAAAAACTGAGGTGACCTGGTTTGTTACCCAGTGCTATCATGAAAAGAATGTTCTGTCAGGGAGTTGAAGGACTGTTCTTCCCAGCTTTATCCCTGAACTGTTGTATAATCTAGTGCTAGAATTTAATATCTTTGATCTTTGTTTTCCCATCTGTAAAATGGGCAAATAGTTGAGCTGCCTTTCACAATCATTATGACAAACAAATAAGTAAAAACTTACAAAAAACAGAAAGGAAAGAGTGGGCATGGGATATTAATCTTCTCCAAAGTATCCTAAATGTAGCCAAAGTACTCCATACAGAAATCTATTTCCACATGATTTCACAGATGCTTTCTGTATACCCTTAATTAACATAAAAGAATGGCAGAGAGAGAGAAAAAAATTCCCCACTGAGTGGAACTGAAAAGAAACAGCTGAAGTTTATGTTAAACACACATATACACACATAGTATATATTAAAAACACAGTCACACATTGGTGGTATATGTGATAATAATCTATAATGCACTTTTTCAGAGCAGAAAGAAAAATCATATCAAAAGAAACAAGGGCAAGAAAGAAAACTCAAAACATAAAAAATACAAAAGAAGCAACAAATACAAGAAACAAGCGTAAGAAAAAGCATTCTGCCTTACAGTAATCAATGAAATGTGAAAGAGTGGGGTACAGCTATTCATCTCCCAAGTTTGTTAAGAACTTTTCATGATAATGAAGTATCAGATTTGGCACAGATAGATGCACAGCGGTTCAGCTTTTCTTGGGACTAGTTTGTTACTAAGTAGCAAAAGCCTTTTAAAACGACTTGTATTCTTTGAGTAGTTGTAGGATTTTAGCCTAAGAAAATAACCAGAGATAAGCTCAAAAAGTGTATCTAAGTGTGTATGTGTATATATATATATATATATATATATATATATATAAGGAAAACAGGGCTTCCCAGGTGGCACAGTGGTAAAGAATCCCCCTGCCATTGATTGCAGGAGACGCAAAGACACAGGTTTGATCCCTGGGTCAGGAAGATCCCCTGGGGAAGGAAATGGCAACCCCTCCAGTATTCTTGCCTGGAGAATTCCATGGACAGAGGAGCTTGGCAAGCTACAGTCCATGGGGTCGCGAAGAGTTGGACACAACTGAGCAACTGAGCATGCATGCACATAAGAATATTTACTTATGATCTGTCTATAATGTTGAAAACTTGTGAACAATTTAAAATAACCAACAAGAGTAGGAATAGAAGGAAGCTCTAGAGGGAGGGGACATATGTATACCTGTGGCTGATTCATGTTGATATGTGGCAGAAACCAACACAATATTGCAAAGCAATTATCCTCCAATTAAAAATAAATAAATTTAAATTTAAAAAAATTTTTAAGAGTAGGACTAAATAAATGAAGTATATCAATGACTATTTTATTTAGCCATTAAAAAACCATGTTACTGAAGATATTGAAGGAAATGGTGTTTTATAGTACTAATATCTTGAGAAAAAGACAATATAGATAGTATGATGCAAATTTCATTAAAATAGATACCTACATATAATCATATATATACACACAAATCATACATAAGTTATTTTAAGAAAGTTTGTCTCTTGGTGATGGGATTCATGAGAGGGTTTTTTTGTGTAATTTTTTTAATAACATTTTTTACAGTTTCTTCACTTTCTTTTTCTTCACTTTCACTTTTTTCCCCCCACTTTTTTACTTTTATAGATCATAGGAGGACCCGTAAAGGTAAACTCTTTTCCAGGAAAGGGACAAAGCCCCTGACCATTTCAGTCAAAGCCCTTTGATTGGCTGTAGTTCGGGGTCACCAGAGTTCAAAGCCTGTCTGCAGATTTATTGGGTTGGCCAAAAAAATATTCGATTTTAAGTAAAAATAAAACACATTTTTCATTTTCACCAAGAACTGTTTTGAACGACATAGTCATTAACCAAAAGAACTTTTTGGCCAACCCAATACAAGCCCTGTTGCTAATTCTTTAGATCCTCCCACAATTGTCAGGCCCTGAGGACTGATTCAGGTAAACTAAATGCACAGGAGATTATCTGGTAAACCAGAGCTCTCTATGTTGGCTTCTGAAGGAGAATATCCATGAGTCAAGAACAAGTGTGGGTTCTTTCCTTACAGAGCATCTCTGCTGTACCAGGCGCTCTTTCTAAAGTAGGAGCCCTGCCAGGGCCTAGGCTCCACCACAGAGCATTGCCTGGTGAGGGCAGAGTCAAGTGTGGGAGCCAGGGTTTTTTAAAAGAGTTGTTTCTGGAGAACTGTGGCAGCTCTCTGCTCTGGAGTATTCTTTCTCTGCCCCTGGAACCAAGATGAGTCACCGTGAGTCAGGGTTCCCTCTCCCTCCTGTTTGAAACACAGGTTGTCAAATTCTTCTTCCCCAGTTCACAGTTTTGTCTGAGACTTTTCAGTTTATAGTTGTCATGACAGCTACACTCCTGATGCACATTCCTAACAGGTTCCAGCATTGGTGTTTCCTGATTTATTTCCCTTCATGGATTAGTTTAATTGAGGCTGCCCTCTTTCTCTGGGCTAGAGGGTGGGAGCTCTACTGGGAGTAATCACGCTGGCTCCCCCCATCCACTGAACTCTCTGGGGAGCTGATCCCAGGAGTGCCCTGGGGACCTCTCAGTCTCAGAAGCCAGAGCTTTTTAGCTTTGTCCCTAGATCTGGAGATCTTATTTTGACCTTAGATGTTAATATCTATCATCTTTGCATTTGGTTTTAGGGTCTCTACTCCCAGATATTTTTTCCTCCTACAGATGGTAATATGTTTTGATGTGTTAGTCTAGCCTGCTGATTACTAGAGATGCAATAACTAGAAACCAGATGATCAGCCAGTTTAAATTCTTAATAGAGATTGTTGACAGTGGTGAGAGGACTTCTAACTGGAGGAAATAATTCTGTAAAATCAGTGGTAAATTTTTAAGAGTAGCATATGCTCATTGTAGCACATTCAACTGTATGGAGTATTTGTGGTAAAAAGTGAATACCCCATCTACTTCCCCAAGCCCATCTGTTCTCACAACTGATGGTAATCCTTCTAGAATGTTTTACACTTTCACACAACCCACACACACAGAGTTCTGTGTGTCTGTCTGTGGGATTGTGTTATTGATGTCTTTTAACAGGATTCTAGTGTATGCCCTTTTCTGCAACTTGCTCTATTCACTTAACAATTTAATCTGCATATCTAGACTGCTGCTGCTGCTAAGTCGCTTCAGTCATGTCCGACTCTGTGCAACCCCATAGGCGGCAGCCCACCAGGCTCCCCCGTCCCTGGGATTCTCCACGCAAGAACACTGGAGTGGGTTGCCGTTTCCTTCTCCAGTGCGTGAAAGTGAAGTCGCTCAGTCGAGTCCAACTTGTAGCGACCCCATGGACTGCAGCCCACCAGCCTCCTCCGTCCAGGGGATTCTCCAGGCAAGAGTACTGGAGTAGGGTGCCATTGCCTTCTCCGAGACTACTGGGACTCAAATCCCAGCTTTTCCACTCACTGACTGCCTCTCTGAACCTCAGATTCTTCTTCAATAAAATGGGGATAATAATGACATCTACTGCATGGGGTTTATGTGAAAAGTAAACAAAGTCAGTACTTAGCAAATGCATAGAACAGGGCCTGGTGTATTACACACACAGTGAGTGTTCACTAGTGGTAGCAATAGTTCAGTAGTAACAATAATACTAGCAGTTGTATCATCTAAGTCTTTTCAGAGGCTCCCTAGCATTCAGGTAGGTTGCTGTCGTTCAGCCGCTCAGTCATGTCTGACTCTTTGTTCAGTTCAGTTCAGCCGCTCAGTCGTGTTTGACTCTTTGTGACCCCGTGGACTGCAGCACGCCAGGCTTCCCTGACCATCACCAACTCCCAGAACTTGTTCAAACTCATATCCATCAAGTTGGTGATGCCATCCAACCATCTCATCCTCTGCCGTCCCCTTCTCCTCCTGCCTTCGATCTTTCCCAGCATCAGGGTCTCTCCCAAGGAGTCAGTTTTTATCATCAGGTGGCCAAAGTATTGGAGTTCAGCTTCAGCATCAGTCCTTCCAATGACTATTCAGAATTGATTTCCTTTAGGATTGACGTTTGATCTCCTTGCAGTCCAAGGGTCTCACAAGAGTCTTCTCCAACACCACAGACCACCTTACCTGACTCTTTATAGATCTACTTGTATCACATAGGTAGATTTAAACATTTTTAAATTATTCCTCTATCGATGGCTCCTAGATTTTACTTACCCAAAGACTTCCTTGCAGTTGAACTAAGGTTTATAAACTACCTTGCCTGCTTTGGGCAAGACATCAGTTCTAGTGAACAAATTACAGATGCTGCCAGCTTCAGAGTTTGGGAATCTTGGGTGAGAGGTGGAAAATGGGATCTGAGATGTGACGGGAAGGTCTGTGTACTCTCCTGTTCCCAGCAAATCGCCATTGCTCGGGAGGGCGACCTGCTGACCAAGGAGCGACTATGCTGCGGGCTATCCATGTTCGAGGTCATCCTGACCCGCATCCGGAGCTACCTGCAGGACCCTGTCTGGCGGGGCCCACCGCCAACCAATGGCGTCATGCATGTGGACGAGTGCGTGGAATTCCACCGGCTCTGGAGTGCCATGCAGTTCGTCTACTGCATCCCCGTGGGAACCAATGAGTTCACAGCTGAGTGAGTAGCCCTGGGAAGATGGGGTCACCCCGCAACCTGTTCATCCTCCTAAGAGCCATCGTACAGCCAGAGCTCAGTCAGAAAGGAGGGCAGGGGTGGGATGGTCCAACAGCAGTTTCCTGAGCACATGCTTTATGTTGGTCAGAGTGCTAGGTGCTGAACGTAATCCAATGCCAAGTGAAAGTAGAGACGGTTCCTGGTGTGGGGGATTCACAGAGCCTAGAGGAGATGAAAGTATAGACATAAGGTGGATTGAATGAGGCCACTTGGCAGCAAGGATAGGAAGGACAACAGATTCCCAAGAGGAGACATAAGAGGATTCAGTTAAGTCTGACTTTGCGACCCCATGGACTGCAGCACACCAGGCTTCCCTGTCCTTCACCAACTCCCGGAGGCTGCTCAAACTCATATCCATCAAGGTGGTGATGCCATCCAACCATCTCATCCTCTGTCATCCCCTTCTCCTCCTGCCTTCAATCTTTCCCAGCATCAGGGTCTTTTCCAGTGAGTCAGTTCTTTGCATCAGGTGGACAAAATATTGGACAATAAGATTATTGGAATTTAATTCACAGACTACAACTGAGCTGGAACATTGCTTAGGATGCAGCTCTTAGAGGGGAAAAGAAGACCTCCCAGGAAAAGGTCCAGGTGATTGGAGGCAGAGATGGGGTGTGTGCACATCAAGGCCTCGGACCTCTAAGGTTCTGTCTTCCCGAGACGGGAAGGTGGGCTGATGGAAGGGGCAGGAGGGAGCCCAGGCAAGGGCTCGGCATCAAGACCTCACTGCACACTGCCATCTCCCCCAACAGAACCCCAGGGCTCATAGAACAGAGAAAGGCTCCAGCGGCAGCAGCTGGGTCCCACCTTCATGAGGCCTCTGCTCCTGAAAAACAGGGAGAGGGGGGCCTCTGAGAGGGACCCAGTCCTGTCCTCAGAAAAGACAGAAGCAGAGCCCCATTCTCCCGTCACTTGCCCAGCTACAGAGCAAGAGCAGAGTGTGAAGAGAGCGGACCAGGACTGTCCCCTGGAGCCAGGAGCTCGGGAGGAAAGGCGCATGGGGCCACAGAGGTCCCCCTGGGGGAGTGGGATGGGAAGGCTGTTTTTCAGAGAGGCTGCACTTTCAGTGACAGCAGTGGGGAAGCTCAGAACCTTTGCAGTGAGATTCGGCTGCTGATGAAGAATGAGAGATTCAGCCGAGAGATGCCCCACGGCCTCCAAAATCACCTGCATTGCTATTGAGAGTTGTGGGTATGAAGGCTTAGCTTTACCAGACCTGAGAGGACTGGCAACCCCCCACATCAGCAGCATCTGCTCACGGCCCACTATGCCCCCCGCCCATCCCTGCCTTCTCAGCCTACACTGGCCAGGTCGTCTGGTTCAAAATGGCCCTTCACCTCACAGGTTTCCTCTGATTCTTGTCCAGAGCCAAGACAGCATCTCTTCAGAATTATGATTGGTTGAATAAATCTCAAAGGCTGGTTGGATTTTTTTTTTTCTTGCAAATTTGCCTTCTTCAAAGCTGATTTTTCTTATGTCAGTGGGGTGACAGACTGACACCTCTTTGTGGTTAGAAGGGCTTATATTATAACCTCAGTCCTGGGAACAAATGAATCCATACTCGCAACTTCCCTTGTACCCATTTTACAGATTAAGAGAATTGGCCCAGAGATGTCCAAGATGAGGGGTCCTCCCCCCACCCTCCCCACCTCTCACTCCAGCTGCTTCCTCTCCCACTCCCAGGCAGTGTTTTGGAGACGGCTTGAATTGGGCTGGCTGCTCCATCATCGTCCTGCTGGGCCAGCAGCGTCGCTTCGACCTGTTTGACTTCTGTTACCACCTGCTCAAAGTACAGAGGCAGGACGGGAAAGATGAAATCATTAAGAATGTGGTAAGCAGCTCGTGGCTGGGGCCTGGGAGAGGGGGCCAGGCCTGACAAGCAGGCTTTCATCTGCCAAGGAGGGTGAGCTCCTTGTGGAGGCCAACTCCCCACACTGCAGGTAGGTGCGGGGACACTCAGCAGCTGGCAGCCTTCTCGTTGGAAGCCGTGAGTCACTCGCCTGTGAGCCGCCAGGATGAATCAGGTCACCCCGCAGGGCAGGGCCAGCCCCCAGAGCTGAAACACACCTTCCCTGTGCCAGTCAGAGTCTGCTCACGTGCTTCCTCCTCTGCACAGACACTTGTGCAGGCATGGGGATGGGATGAGCGCTGTGGTGGGGTAAGCAGGGCTGCTTGGGAGCATGAGGAAGGGCCAGCTAAACCAGGCTGAGGGGCTGGGGAGGGGCCTCAGAAGGCTCCCCATAGAGGCGATGCTTGGGCAAAGTCCTGAATGACCAGCGGCAAAGAGACAGGCAGGAAACAGGGTGCAGACTGGGGGAGGTGTTCTAGACAAAGGGGCCGGCTAGAGCAAAGGCACAGAGGTGTGGAGATGGATGGCTGGAACAAAGGGTGGGTCTCCAGGACCAGCCAAGAGGGAAAAAAGGCAGGCGCCACTTATAAAGGTGACAGTTTTCATTGAAGTAGAATATATGTAACCTAAAATTTTTCTATTTTAACTTTTTTTAAGCGTTCAGTTCAGTAGAGTTTAATCATTTTGAACTCTTTACTGCATTAAATACACTCACTTTGTGCAACCATCCCCCTATTTTCTTTTTTCTTGCTGTTATTTAATTGCAGGAGTTCTTTCTGGATATTAATCCCTGATCACATACATGATTTGAAAAGTGTTTTCTTTCATTCTTTGAGTCGCCTCTTCACTCTGTTGATAGTGTCCTTTGATGCATTTTTAATTTTGATGGATTCCAATTTATTATTTATTACACTCCATCTCCAGAACTTTTTGTCTTCCCCAAATGAAACTCTGTGCTTGGTTAACACTAATTGGTCATTCTCCCTCCCTCCAACCTCTGGTAACCCTTCACTTTCTCTATGAATTTGACTGCTCTAGGTACTTCATATAAGTGGAATTCTTGAACTCAGCATAATGTGTTCAAGGTGTACTGTGTTGTATTAATAGCATGTGTCAGAATCATCTTCCTTTAAATTGTATTCCATTGTATGTGTACATAGCATTTTGTTTATCCATTGGTCAGTTGATGGACACTTGAGTTGCTCTCACGTTTTGGCTGTTGTGAATAATGCTGCTGTGTCATGAGTGTCCAGATAACTGTTCCAGACCTTACGTTCATTGCTTTGTGGTATATACCTAACATTGGAATTGATGGATCATGTGGTAATTCTGTCGTTAATTTTTGAGGACCACCATACTGTTTTCCACAGGGACAGCACCATTTTACTTTCCCACCAGCAATGCATAAGAGTCCTAGTTTCTTAATATCCTCTCAGCACTTGTTATTTTCTGTATATTTTTGGAACTAGCCACCTTAATGTGTATGAAGTGATATCTCATTGTGGTTTTGATTCATGTTTCCTTAACGATTAGTGATATTAGCATCTTTTTGTGTGCTTATTGGCTCTTTGTTTATCCTTCTTTGGAGAAATGTCTGCTCAAATATTTTGCTCACTTTTTAATTGGGCTGGTTGGTTTTTTGTTTGTTTGTTTGCTGTTATTTAATTGCACGAGTCCTTTCCATATTCTGGATATCAATCTCTAATCATATACAAGATTTGAAAATGTTCTCTTTCATTCTTTGAGTCACCTTTTCACTCTGTTAATAGTATCCTTTGATGCAAATGCTTTTTTAATTTTGATGAATTCCAATTTATTATTTATTACCTGTGCTTTGGTGCCATATTCCAATAAGTCGTTGCCAGACTCAGTGTTATAAAGCTTTTCGTCTGTTTTCTTCTCAAGGTTTTATAGTTTTTGCTCTTATGTTTAGGTCTTTAATCTATTTTGAGCTTATGTTTTGTGTATGGTGTAAATTAAGAATCCAACTTCTTTCTTCTGTGTGCCAGTCTTCCTGCACCATTTGTTGAAAAGACCATTCTTTCTCCATTGAATGTTGCAGGCACCCTTATCAGGAATCATTTGACTGTATGTGAAAGGCTTTATTTCTGGGTTGTCTAATCCATTGGCCCATATGTCTGTCTTCATGTTAGCACCACATTGTTTTAATTACTGCAGCTTTGTGGTAAGTGTTGAAACTCATGTAAAGGGTTTTATGGTCAAGTTCACATTTCATTGTCAAACTCTGGGCTCCCATAGGAGGCCTTTAAGCAAGAGAGTGGCATTACCATTGAAGCATCAGGACTCTGGAACCCAAACCTCAACTATATTCTTCCCTTGCTCTCGATCTCCCTACCCCACTCCTCCCACTTCTAACCTACATGCCCCTGTCCTTCTCTAGCCCCTGAAGAAGATGGCAGACAGGATCAGGAAATACCAGATCTTGAACAATGAGGTTTTTGCCATCCTGAACAAGTACATGAAGTCTGTGGAGACAGACAGTTCCACCGTGGAGCATGTGCGCTGCTTCCAGCCACCCATCCACCAGTCTCTGGCCACCACCTGCTAGGCGGAAGGTCCTGCAAACCTCTAACTGGAGGAGAAGAAGCAGGAGAGAGAAAGCCACGGCCAGCCTGCAACAGGGTCCGACTGGACAATGTGTGAGATGGACCTGGAAACACACAAGAACCTCCCCAAACACATCTGCACCTCCCGAGGGCTGGGCCTCTGCATGCTCTCCCATGACATCTCCATGGTGGTTTTTCCATAGTGTAAATGAAAAAAAAAGAAGAAAAGAAACAGGGCAGTACTTGCTTTTTTCTCTTTTTCCCCTCAGCTGTGTTAAGAGCCCTAGTTTCACCCTTTCTCCATCTCATGGTCCCCACATCCGTGGTTGCTACCCAACACCTCCTCCCCTGATTGTGACCTCCTGCACAGTGCCCACATGCAACCCCAGGACTGAAGTCTTAGAGATGGAGAAAAGAGTGTGGCCATTCCCCAAGATGTCAGCCTGGCTTGATGGGCATGCTTCCACTTCCAAGCATCTTCACCTCCTCTGGCTCCCTTCCCCCACTTCCCACGGTGTCATCTTGTCCTGCTCCGGATGCCAGGGATTCAACAACCAAGTGTACTCCTGGACCAGGCACTGAGAGCTGTGGTGAATGGGAGACGAGGTTCCTGGTATCAGTACCGTAGCAGATGGTGTTGAGATGTTGCCTTTGGCCTTCCATGGACTCTTAAAACCACATTCTGACTCCCCTCTCAGGGCACTCCTAGGGAGAACTCAGAAATGCATTCACAGCTGGAATGAGTGAGTGGAATTGGGGTAGGAAGATGGTCAGGCCTGCTGTGTAGAAGCAGTATATATGAACACAGCCAGGAATTCCATAGTCCAAAACAGAAAGCTGTTAGAACACTTCATCAGGTTGATGGTGAGAGACTCCTTTATTCATTGAACAAATACTTAGCACCAAGTCACAGAGAGAGTGAACACTGGACTACTGGCCAGACATGCACTGCCCACAGCATTAGCCAGCAACCAAATTAGGGGCCACTTCTTGGCACAGAATCTCTCATCAAGAAAAACCCTAACAAGAAAGAAAATATTAAAGAGTTATTTTAACAGAATCCAGAAACACGTTGGGGTCAAGGAGGTAAGGAGTGTAAATAATACTTATCAATGAGCTTTTAATACCAACCGACCCAGGGATCAAACCCACATCTCTTGCATCTCCTGCATTGGCAGGCAGATTCTTTACCACTAGCACTACCTGGGAAGCCCCTTCAATACTAAAATACACCCAAAGAAGAACCCTGTTCTAATGAATCATGATTTTATTGTCCAAGAAGCTGAAAGATTCTGGAGACATTTGACCTTTGGCTTCTATTCTTTGATGTTCCTTAACTTAGATTCTGAGATATGGGTCATATCTCACAGGGACATTGTTGTTATTCAGTTGCTCAGTCATGTCCGACTATTTGCGACCCCATGGACTGCAGCACACTGGGCTTAACTGTTCTTCATCATCTCCCAGAGTTTGTTCAAACTCATGTCCATTGAGTCAGCAATACCATCCAACCATGCCTACTTCTATTTCCCAGAATGAATCAAAATTCCTTGCAGAATCTCTTACTGAGCATAGGGAAGCTGTTTAGAAGGACAGAAGCCTTTGGGAAATGAATGTCTCCTTACAGAGCACGTTATTATCAAAGGGAATCTGTGAGTCTGAGCTTGTAAGAACATATAAAATGAGACAATTTGGTACTTCTTCCCTTGCCCAGGAAGGAAAAGAGAGAAAACAAACCCGTAATGATCGCCTCACTCAGGGCAGATGAATGGAAATTGTTCCCCATTAACCAGATGGCCCATTTCATCCCCAGGCAAGAGCAAAGAAGTGTCCATAGCAAGCGGTTTGTGTTACCCACTCATGCTTACCAGGGAGGACAGAGGTGGGGCTTGCCAAGTGTGGTCCAAAGGCCACCTCCATCAGGACTTCTGAGATTAGCACATTTGATGCAGATTCCTGGGCCTACCTCAAACCCACCAATCCTGCATCTCTGGGAGCAGAATTGAGAAATCTGCACTTGCCACAAGCTGGATTGTTCTGTTACACATCAGAGTCTGAGGACCACTGCTGTAGAAGCCCCCTTCACTGCTAACCTTGGGCTTTGAGCTCCCTCTGAGCCGTGAAAGAAAATAATTGTAGGGAAGGAAAGTGAGTCAGGGTACAAGTTGTCAGATCCTCCTGTTTGGAGCTGCTACTTCCCATTCTCATAGGAATAGTATTTCTCTCTCTCTCTCTCTCTCTTTTTTTTTTTTTTTTTTTCCTTCTTGAAGATTATACATGTGTCCCAGAGGCAAAAGTGAGGGGTTACACCACATGGGGGAACTACATGGTAAAACTCACCTTCAAAACCCACATAAAATTTCTAAGCTCCAGAGTCTTCTGAGTCTTCAGTCCTGTCTGGGTACAGTAGCTGGCTCGCTTTCTCAGCTACTTGACTGTCTATTAAGTCCTGGAGATCATTCTAAATCCTTGACTATTGCTTTGTGGAGATTTGGATCACCCTTTTGATGAGATTGCTATTTCAACAGCCTGCCCCTCCCATCCTATCATAGCCCTGACTTGACCCTTTGGGTAGAATCCCATTGTCCTCAAGAGATTTTATCTCAGTAAATTGAGGTCTTCACCTTTAGGAGAGATGTTTCATTTCCCTGGCTCACCAGCAGCATTGATTTACAAATACAGAACGGGTTTAATATTCTTTCCCTCCAGGTGTTACTGCCCCTCTTTTGATTTTTTGTGTATCTAAGAACCAAGAAAAATAAAATCTTAGGTTTTAAAAGGTTTAAAAAAATTCTGTTTCAGAAACTGTCAAATGTACCATATTTGTATTAAGAGTTGTCGGGGATTTTTGTACAATGAATTTACATTTATTTATGGTGACTTATATTTACGCTTGTGATCAAATAATGATGTTAAATTCTTAAATCATATTTGCTATGCAGCTGAAGATGATATTTTGCTTTGTATTTTGGGGTACCTGTGTTGAGTTGATAAACATTTCCATCTCCATTAAAACTGCTTCCAAACTCGTGAAATGAGTGTCTTGTCTTGATTCTGGTTCATATTCTAGTCCTAGTTAATCTGTGGAAGACCATGGGAAAACTGGTTAACTAAGGAGACAACCTGAAAGAGAATGGAAGAACATAAAGAATATAAAGATGCTGCACCCTGAACTAATGGCTTGTTTTGCTTTCTTATTGGGAGAATTATATCTTTGTAAACACTCTGGGCTTGATATTGAAGATAGTTCCTGAGCCTAGGGCTTTCTTCATCTGACAGTATAATTCTACAGCCTAGATTCCTAGTGCTGTTTTTTATTTGTTTGTGGTTTTTGTTTGTTTGGGGTTTGGGGTAGATTTTATTTTTTTAATTGGAGTGTGGTTGATTTACAATGTTGTGTTAGTTTCAGGTATATAGTAAAGTGATTCAGTTATGTATATATATATACTCTTATTCAGGATCTTTTCCATTATAGGTTATTTTAAGATACTGAATATAATTCCCTGTGCTATACACCTAGGCCTTTTTTAAGTTTTATATATATATTTGTAGTAGTGTGTATCTGTTAATCCCAAACTCCTAATTTATCCCTCCCTACCTTTCCTCTTTGATAACCATAAGTTTGCTTTCTGTGTCTGTAAGTCTATTTCTGTTTTGTAAATAAGTTCATTTGTGTCATTTTTTAGATTTCACTTATAAGTGATATCATATGATAGTTTGTCTGACTTCACTTAGTATGATAATAACTTGGTCCATCTTGTTGCTGCATATTGCATTATTTTGTTCTTTTAATGGTTGAGTAATATTCCATTGTGGAATATTGTGTATATATACATATACATGCACACACACCTTTCATGTTAATGGACATTTACATTGCTTTCATGTCTTGCTATTATAAGTAGTGCTGTTATGAACCTTGGGGTGCCTCTATCTTTTTGAATGAGAATTTTTGTCTTTTCTGGATATATGCCCAGGAGTGGATTGGTGGATTATATGGTAAGCATTATTTTTAGTTTAAGTAAGCTGCATATTGTTTTTCATAGTAGCTGCAACAATTTATGTTCCTACCAAAAGTGTAAGAGGGTTTCTTTCTTTTCACATCCTTGCTGACATGTTTTTGTGTTCTTTTTGTTGACAACCATCCTGGCAAGTGTGAGGTGATATCCTGTTGTAGGTTTGATTTGCATTTCCCTGATTATTGTCAATAGTGAGCATCTTTTCATGTGCCTGTTGGCCATCTGCGTGTCCTCTTTGAGAAAATGTCTATATAGTTCTTCTGCCCATTTTTTTCAGTCAGGTAATTTATTTTGTTGATGTAGAATCATAAGAACTGTTTATATACGTTGAATGTTAACCCCTTGTTAGTTATATGATTTGCAAATATCTTCTTCCATGCAGTAGGTTGTCTTTTCATTTTGCCAATAGTTTTCTTTGCTGTGCAAAAGCTTTTAAATTTAAGTAGGTCTCATTTGTTTACTTTTGCTTTAGGAAAGGAATCCAAAAAACATTTCTCTGATTTATGTCAAAGAGTGTTCTGCCTGTGTTTTCCTCTAGCAGTTTTATCAATCTTACATTTAGGTCTTTAGTCCATTTTGAGTTTTTTTGTATATGTTGTTAGAGAATGTTCTAAGTTTACTGTTTTACCTGTAGCTGTCCAGTTTTTCCAGCACTACTCATTGAAGAGATTGTCTTTTTCTCCATTATATATTCTTGCCTCCTTTATTATAAAAGAATTTACCATGAGTACATGGGTTTATGTCTTGGCTTTCTATCCTATCTCATATATGTCATTTATCAATACATCCCTAGTTCTAAGAGGAAACATGACACTAATATGTAATAAGGCCTGATGTGTGTGGGCATCATGTAAATTCCATTCATCCATTCCTTTGAATCCTTAGTCACTGTGCTAAATTCCACCTTTGACAGAGAGACTATGCAGTGTGTTTATTTTCACGTGGTTACTCAGTGACAGCTAGAATTTGAACCCTGTTCTAAA